AGCTCTCCGCCGGCGTCCCTCGGCGCGAGCGGGACCGCGCTGCCCGCTTGGACAGAGCGCCGCTGTCCTACACCAGCGCCGGCGCTTCGGCTCCCGCGAGGCGGAAAAGGCAGAGTTTGAGAAGCAGAGGCAGAAGTATCGCCAGATACTCGCCGAGGGGCAAGTGAAGGTGGCCGCTTGCTGGCGATGGCTCATGAAGGAGCATCTCCGTCCTCTGGAAGAAGCGGGTTTGCTCGCTTGGACCCCTGAGATGCCCCATGCAGCGGCCCCTGTACGATCGAAGCTGCCCTAGGGGCCACCCATGCTCTGGAAACGGTCCTTCCTCCTGTTTCCAGAGTCCATGTAGTCTGGGTATCCAAGAACCATCTCCTCTGTGTGTGTTTGTGTGTGTGCCTTCGTGCCAACTGCCTGGACTACTCCCTGCAGTTTCCTTGGCAGGATTTCAGAAGTGGTTTGCCATTGCCTCCTTCCCAGGGCTGAGAGAGAGTGATGGGCCCAAGGTCGCCCAGCTGGCTTTGTGCCTGAGGCAGGATTAGAACTCAGTCCAGCTTGGAGCCTTAACCACTAGACCAAACTGGTAATGACCCCATTCTCTGACCAAAGACCATCTCCTCTGGGTATCCAAGGACCATTTTTTTCTAGGTGGCTAAGGATCTGCCTGACTACTGCAACCATTTGGCCTTTTTTCCTGTGGCATTTCCACCTTTGGCTAGCAACCATGATGGGTTAAGTGTCGAAGGCAGAATGCCTCTCAATATCAGTTCCCTGGGCAAAAAATGAGCTGGCTGTGCTATTGTCCTCATTTCCTATTGAGTACATTGAGTACACAATGCCTATTGTGTACCCAATGTGCTCAATATTGTGCTCATTGTGTACATTAAATTGGGGCATCTTTTTGGCTTTTTCCAACAAGTACTTACAGTCTTAATAATTTCCTCACAAAGTTGGTTGGATACCAGAGGAACCTGTTATTGTGGAATTGTCCTGTTTATTTATTTAATTTCACAGAAGGGACATGGAATCCAGGACAAAGCCTTTCACTGGAAATTTTGTCTTTCTTCCTACAAGGAAAAAAAAAAGTATTTCCATGATCTACTGCAGTGTTGGCTGGGGAATTCTGGGAGTTGAAGTCCACACTTCTGGCAGTTGCTGAGGTTGTGAAATGCTGCTCTGCTGCTCTATCCTTATGTGAATAGCATTTGTTTCTGGGCTGAGCTCTTTCTTCCTTTCTTTTCTGAGTGAAAAGTGAGACATCAGCTATATTAAATTAAATGCTGACAGCGAGAGCAGACATTACAGACACTCTGAATCTAAGTACAACAGATTGATCAGAAATATTTATCTAGAACAATAAATCAGAGTTTCTGCCTATTAAGTTCCCATGGTATCTTACTGTAAAAAAACTAAAAATGCATGATGACTTTAAAAAAATGTCATTATGCAACCCAAGAGGAAGCCCTATACCATTTAAAGTTAGAAAGTGACAACATTATAGAAGTAACAGCCCAACTGTACACAAATATCTTTCTTACCTATTGAATATGGACTAGGAAGAAATCAATCTTGCAAGGGTAGGAGTTCCATAAATAGGAAATATATTTAAGATTATTATCATAAGATCTGTAATACCAGAAAGAAAAAGAAAGAAAGAAAGAAAGAAAGAAAGAAAGAAAGAAAGAAAGAAAAAGAATTATTATTAATGACATTGGAACAAAGAAAGGGCTAAAACTGTAATGTTATAAATAAAGTCTCAGCATAGTTAAAGCTGTATTTCAAAAAGTTATTCTAATTATTCCCTTCTTAGTGGCAATGCCATTACCCCTCTTCATTTCCCAAATTTTGGTCACTGCCACCTCTTGTGTCCTTTTAGTCAAAATCCTACCAAATACTTTCTCAAACATGTTTGACTAATTCCCTTGCAGTTTTTGCATATACTCTTACTACCTTTCCCTTTGTACTGAGGAACAATAGCAATCTTCCAATCATCAAGTACAGGTAGTTTTCACCCAGATATTAAAGAAATCACACAGTCACTCACTAAGTAAACCATATTATTTTAACATTTCTCTGGTTAAACCACTTGCACCTGCAGCTTTATCATTTTTCAACCTTCTCACAGCATTTATGACTTCCTTTTTTTTCTTTTTCTTTTGGGTGCACTAACAATTATAACATTCATTTTAAGTCTAGTCTTTGCCACATCACTATCATTCCCATACAAATTTGTACATATTGCTTCCAGCATTTCCCCACTTTATTTCATCCCAAAACACTTAATTATTTTTATTTTTAATTCCACTCACTTGAACCTCCTTGTTTAGCTATCCTTATTCAGTTAGGTTGAAAAACAGTTTTTTATTTCCATTAATATTGCTCTGCATTTTCTCTGGCTCTTTTAGTCTTTGACTACATTCTTTGCAGCTGTCTTTTTTTCTACATACAAATGATTCAATATCTTATCTCATCTTTATTTGCAACAACAGCCTTTCTCTTACATGCATTTTTTCATCATCCATAGCCTTTTCCTCATTCCTCCAAGCATGCTTTTTACATGCTTCCTATTAGCATAATGTCACAACACTTCTATGGCATTCTTTATTAAAATACTTTTCAGTCTGTACCAAACAGCTTTCACATCCTGTTTTCTTAAGTCTACTTTCCACTCATTCTCTTGACAGGTCTTCTGATAGGTTTAATATAGGATTCATACCTTCTCTTCCTGCAACTGCTTTACTTTCATTCTTGTCTCTTTCACTTCTTTCCTTTTCTTTCATGCCCATTTTGCCAAGATACGCTCTTTACACTACCAGAAGATTATCTGATCCACATTCAGAACTTCTCATCACCATTGTTTCTTTCACAGAATCAACGTTTCATTCTTTTATCATAAGCCATCAAATCAATCATATTTTCAGATTCATTATTTTGCAACTGGGAAAAACATTCCAAATAATATACATATTCTACTAGTCATATATTATTTAATGATCCTAGACCGTTTTTCTTATAATAGAGTAGTTCACTTATTTTTTACCTGTTTCCTACCTATTTTGGTACTAATGCTTTGAAGATCATTCAATATCTATTTGGTTTGGCAGTGTTTTATTTTTTCTCAAAATAATTTTTATAGTGTTTACATTGCCTATTGGGCTCTTATGGCAAGGATGGGTAGCCCATGGGTTTCTAAGTGTTGCTGAAATACAGTTCATCACAGCTACCACCAGCATGGTCACCTCTGCCTATGACTTCTGCTAGTCATCTTGACGGTGCAAGTTATATGTGTCTCCTTATCTATGTCCCACTGAATTATTTATGGTTTACTTCTAGTAATAATGATAGAGGTTTTATCTTCTCATAGGGTGACAGGTTAAGTATATTTTTAAATAGAATTATTAATATGTTACAGATTTAAAAATAGCTGAAATTCAGATTGCTGATTTCAACAATCCCTGTACTTGCCTTGGGTGCACTCATGCTTCTTTGGGAGAAAGACTCTGAACTCAGCAGGGCTTGTGTCCATGGGAATTTATTTAAAACTGATTAGAAAGGGAACCAAGGAGATTTCTTTTTCAACCCATGAACAAGCTTTGAGATTTCTTGGTCAGCAGCATCTAGAGAATCACAAAGAGCAGATCTCAGTGCCTTGCAACACCAGTAAAACCAGCAGTACAAAAGTATTTGGCATTTGTTGTAGAAACTATCAATGGTTTTCCTTCCTCTGGAAATGGAAGAGAGCTAGAACTGGAACCACATGAAAAGTAGTAAGGAGTTATTAGTCTTCCCTCATAACTTCTGCAAAGAATCTCAACCAAGAACAAAGTGGGGGATTAATTGATTGATTGATTTTTAGCAATTGGGGAAATCATTATCTGAAAGCCAGAAATTCAGTTTCCTGATGTGTATGTACGTATGTGCATGCACCGTGCATGTATTAGTAAAATGGAATTACAAACACGCATTTCAAAAAACAATTAAACAGCTCAAATTTATTAGAACAGATGCTTGCAACTAATTGATCGATTACATGCCATCAAGTCGTTTTCAGCTCCTAGCAACAGTATATAAATGGCAATAGTTATTGCTTATAAAAACTCCTTTTTTAAAAAAAATATTTATTTATTCAACTTATATAGGTGCCCACTCAACATGCTCCATAACTCCTCTCTCCTCTCCTTTCCTCTCCTCTCC